TGAGGACCAAAACGACTTTAGTATTCTTTAAAAGAAAATATTCCATTAGGACCAAAATTTTCCTTAAGTTATTGAGCACTTCATCCCATAACATACTTCCAATTATGGGATCTTCTTTCAGTTGCTGTGGCTCAGAGAAGGTCGAAGAAGTGTACGTGAAATTACTTTAATTTTCTCCATATATATCTATTTCGTGATTTCCAATGCTATGTTAATTGGTTATTCTTTTTTGTCATCAAATTTGTGCATGTAATTTTTGTAGGCCAACATCATTTGGTGTAGTTAACAATTCGTGGAGAATATTCACCTACAAGGAGTTGCATGCAGCTACCAATGGATTCAGTGAAGATAATAAGCTTGGTGAAGGTGGATTTGGAAGCGTCTATTGGGGAAGAACCAGTGATGGTCTCCAGGTAAATACAGAAATCCTAGCACTCAGTTTTATAACATTATGCTTTCATTGTTGGGGATGTCATGTCAATGACAGAGTGCAAAACTTAGTCTTTAATCTCTTTCTCATTAACTGTTATTGCTACCTCTTAATGGAAATTGTAGATAGCTGTGAAGAAACTGAAATCAATGAACTCAAAGGCAGAGATGGAATTTGCAGTAGAAGTTGAAGTTCTTGGAAGGGTTAGGCACAAAAATTTACTGGGTCTTAGGGGCTATTGTGTTGGGGATGATCAACGGCTTATAGTCTACGATTACATGCCAAATCTCAGCCTGCTTTCTCATCTCCATGGCCAGTTTGCTGTTGAAGTGCAACTGAACTGGCAAAGGAGAATGAATATTGCAATTGGCTCTGCGGAAGGCCTCTTGTAAGCTTCAACCTTACTTTTCAACATTTAATATATTTCTTTTTCCTACATTCAATTGAATTATGTTGACTTTGATGATGTTTTCCTGTTCAAATTTGTGTTTAATTTGCTTAGCTTAAATATTTTCTATTATACCATTTGAATTTGTGTGCATAAATGAGTACAATTATAATTAGTAATTTTATAAGTATTAAAATCTAAATGTAATGATAAGATACCTTCATGTTCAAAGCATGCTTGGCAGGAGGAAGAATATATGAGAATGAACATAAACTATCTATTGAGACATTCATTGTGTTCACATACTACTTGTTCCATTTTCATTCTTATCAAGCACCCACAAATTAGTATAGCTTCAAAGTCTTATAGAACACCTTGTATAAATTTTAGCACTGGCTAAATATTATTTCTTGTGCAAGGGTGTGCTCTGCTCACTGGCCTTAATCTGAAAGGAAAGGATATGACCTCTTCTCCAGTAGTGACTGCAAACTTTTGAAGTCCTAAATCTAGTAGCATAAATAGCTTGTATTGTATAGTAAATTAAAATTAAATCTAGCTATGCTTGTTTCAAATTTTAAAATTGGACAACCTTGTATTCTCTTCTGTTGTTGCTAGGTACTTGCACCATGAGGTCACACCCCATATCATCCATAGGGACATCAAGGCAAGCAATGTGCTTCTGAATTCAGATTTTGAACCACTAGTTGCAGATTTTGGGTTTGCAAAGCTAATACCAGAAGGAGTTAGTCACATGACCACCCGTGTTAAGGGTACCTTGGGATACTTGGCACCTGAATATGCCATGTGGGGAAAGGTCTCTGAAAGTTGTGATGTCTATAGCTTTGGAATTCTTCTGTTAGAGCTTGTAACTGGTAGAAAGCCAATAGAAAAGCTTCCGGGTGGGGTTAAGAGAACAATAACTGAGTGGGCTGAGCCTCTGATAACCAAAGGAAAGTTCAGGGATCTGGTTGATTCAAAGCTCAGAGGGAACTTTGATGAAAATCAAGTCAAACAAGCAATCAATGTGGCTGCTCTTTGTGTGCAAAGTGAGCCTGAGAAGCGACCAAACATGAAGCAAGTGGTTAACCTTCTCAAAGGATATGAACCTGATGAGAGAGTGACAAAGATGAGGATAGATAGTATCAAATACAATGAAGAACTATTGGCACTTGATCAACCTAGTGATGACGATGACGATGATGATGGAACCACTGGCTATGGTGTTTTTAGTGCTATTGAAGTCCAAAAGATGAATGATCCTTACAAGCGCAGTGATAACAAGAAAATGGGCTATATGTAATAAACTTATGTTTTGTGAAGCCTTTTTATTTATTGGTAATTGAATCAACTTCCAAGTATAAATTTTCAGTAATGACTAATGCCTTCATCTTATTCTTTTAAGGCTAACTCTCATTTTATAGAATCATCAAATTGATATTTCTCATTTATGATAAGCGTGACAAAAAGACATTATACCTATATTCACACTAGTTAGCTGTGTATACAAATGTGTGTGTTTTGTGAACCCTACATCTTTATTTGTCTTAATTGTTTAGAAATGAAAAAGAAAACGAAATGTCTTTTTTATGTGGGGATTAGACAATTTTTATTGGTTTTATACCAAAATAATGATAAATCCATAAAATATGGTATGCATAAATAGTAACAAAATAATCATGTGTTGAAGTTAGTTCAAATTGGATGATTATTTGTTCTTTATTTATAAGGGAAATCATAGTCTCACGTTGCATCAGATTGATCTTCCATGTTGTATTTACATCAAAAAATACGCTTTTTTCTCCTTCTTTTTTTTTTTTTGTTAAAATTGGTGGGCTTCACTTTATGTGAGAGAGCTTCTCTCATACCATGTGAGAGAAATAATTCCCTATTTGTAATTACTATTATCGTGTAGGTTTTTTTTTTTTTTTTTTTGTGTGTGGTGTAATTCTTTCTAATTATTAATTCACCCAAAATTCTGACTGATATCCCGACACACATAATGAATACGAATCAGCATAATAACGGTTACAGTTAGATTATAGTTGGGTTAAATGAAGATGTGTCAACGAACTTGAACTGTATCCCCTTTTGCTTGAAATTAAGGCATCTTCTTATCTTGCCAAAAAAAATTCTATAAAAGTAAATAACAAAGTGTAAGTTAGGGGAAATTGACGGAAATTTCAGCTATGTGGGGTTTAAGGAAAGATGGATTATCCATGTCTCGGCAGTTCCCTAATCCAAATCCCTCGCCCTCTCACCTCCACCGTTAGGTGTGGCAGTCGTTTTAGCTTAAGCTTAATAAAGTTTTGTCAAATCAACAAAAGATCAACTTCATTGCAATTTTATTTATTTTTTATATATTTTTTTTCACGTTTAGTATCCACACATGCATTAGTATATTGTAGTGTCCCTTCAAAAAATGGAGTAACAAGTAACGCAATTCTATATACCAGATTTATTACAAGATCATTTATATGGGTGTGAACCTATTTATTGATTCGTAAATGTGGCTTCTACGATGTAAAGTCCACTTTTCTTTTTTTGAGATAGCAACTCCGATTGGAAGCACATGTTCCAGTTTTTTATGCCTCTGAATTGCAAAATCAGCATAATTATTTAACGAATCTTGAAGTGAAAGTCGCACATGCTTATTCAGAAGAGGCCATTCTTATTCAGAAACAGCAATAATTGGATTTAGAATGACCCTATCTTTCTTGGAAGGGAGAAATTTATAGAAGGAATCCATTCTTTGATAGCACCCTAGAAGGCCATCCGTTTTAAATATTTTAAATGCTGTGTGTCATAGTTAATGAGAATATTCTTGTAAGCTTGCTTCACCTATGTAAAGGAAAAGCCAATTTTATAAGCCCTAATTGTTAGGGGTGTTCGTTAACCGATCCAAACCGATTCAAACCGCGGTGACCGAACCGAAAAACCGATAACCGAACAAACCGAAAACCGAAAAAAACCGTAATTTTTAATTGGATTGGATTGATTTTCAGATTGCTTAACGAAAATCGATCCAATCCAAACCGATCCAATAAATTAATTCCCCTCCACTTACTTTACTTTGGTCTTTCTCCAATCATAATCCAAAAATTTCTAAACCCAAGACTCATTAGACCATCAACTAAACTCAAGAAAAAACCTAGTCACATCTCATCAACAAAATTTCATCTGCGTAGAGCTCCATATCTCAATGTCCCCCAAAAAAAAATTATATTATCGTCTACTGATGCTTTTGTATTTCAAATTTTTTTTACAAAGCCAATATATATACAAAAGATGTTATCTGCATGAAACAAATTTTAGGATTTTCAAAAAATCAAAAACCGATCCAATCCAAACCGAAAAAAATTGGATTGGATCGGATCGGATTTAAAAAAAATTCTAAACCGAATGAATGATTACATGGTCAAACCAAAGGGATCGGATCTAATTGTCACATATGAGAGAGATCTTCGGCTCACCCTGCTTCAATTCGTTGTGTTATTTCTACATAACTAGGTACGTTACGGCCCCATCACATTAAATTTTAAGCATTAAAATAAGCACTCTGATGTTGCTGTGCATGACAAAAATAGTGAAGGGTATGTGCCAACCTTGCAAGGTTTGATAGCGAAACAAGTGAAGCAGTTATACGGAGATATTGGCCACTTTATCCGTTAGAAAAGAGAAAACAGTTAGTGTCCTCTCAAAGTTTCATTGATGATAAAGTGATGAGTGAAGCTCTTCTTTTTTAGAGTGGCAAATAGCCCAATAAGCTTTCCTACCAAATGGAAATAAAAAAAGAAAAACAAGAACAAAAGAAGAAAAGGTACTTTGTTTCCTAAATTTGAAGGGGAGCTTCAACTTTGGCTTACATAGCAAGATAAATCAAATACGTGCCCACCACCTTTGCTTATACCCCAAAGCACCCAACTACAACACTTAATTGTCACCAGAGAGAGAAATAGAGACTAAACAGTTCTCCAATTGCCACTGTTAAAGGCTTTTTATGCTTCTCTAACAAGTATTATAGAATTTGGACATGGGGTTGGTCTCACACCCTAACTGAATTTAATCATGCTCTTCCTCACACTATTTATTCTTTAAGCAGAGAATGCATTCGACCGTGGGTGACAAGAACTAGCAGAGCAAATAATACCATTTCTCTGCTTGTTGGCCAATTTGCATTTGAGAATGTTACCTACTTCCCCAGCTAAAATACTAATTGGCCTCTCCTTAGACCCAGATGACAGCAAGGAGCTTCTCTCATGGGCAATAAGAATTCTAGCCAATCCAAATGACACCATTGTGGCCGTGCATGTTCTTGGTTAGTCACTATTTTTCTTCCTAAAGTTCAAATTTTGCAGCTCATTTAGCTTCATATTAGTCATTACCTGCTGCATTATCACTTATTCAATTTATTCATTTGAGATACTATTTACAAACCTAAGATTCTAACCTCAGTGATCAACATAGAACAAAGCATGTCTTAATACTGTGAATAAATTTGTTAAATTATAGCTTCTGAGGATAAGAAGAAGCGTGCCTCAATCAGAAGAAGGCAATCACAACTAAGGCAGGCAAAAGCATACGTTATATCTGTGCTTGCAGAATTCGCACAGACATGTTGGTCTAATCAGGTAATTCAACAAGGATTAAATATATGAATATGTATGTTGCTATCTATAAAAATGAAATTTTTTACAATCTTCTAGAGTTCAGCATGCTTGCTACTATAGTCTAGAGTCAATGAATGCTCATGAAAACATCATTATCAGGTTAATTTGGAGGCCAGAGTGGCACTCAGTTCCACAGTAGGTGGAGGTTTAGTCGAGGAAGCTAAGTCCATCTCAGCTGACTTTCTTCTTCTTCGTGGTTCAAGAAACCAAACTAAAAAGTAAGAAATGAGTGATGTAACAGTCATCAATTTTCTGTATAAAGACCGGTCATTAATTTTCTTTTCTTTCTTAGAATTGGAACCTCTAAAGGAATTACCAAGTATTGCTTTGAGCATGCACATGAAGGTTGCACGATGGTCTCAGTTGGGAGACGTAAGCAAAGTGTCAAGTCAAATCCTACAAAGTTTGAAGGTAATTCAATTCTCTGAAACAAGGTAAGACAATCCAAATAACATTGGTTAACAAATCCCTTTTATCTTTTCGGTAGCAGATAATAGCCAATCAAGTTCAAGGTGGTTAAAGAAGGATAACCAAGGTGACAAGGCTACCTCCCCTGTTCTTAAGGATTTTATCTCAGAAACGAAGGCACAGAGCCGTTCACCAACAACGGTACTAGATGGAATCGAGGGACAATCGAACAGCACAGAAGATGATACCTTTAGCACTAGGGTCTCAAGCATCACAGATATCCCTTCATTGGGTCCTAAGAATAAGAGCCAATCCAAGTTAAGAAAATTACGCTCCCCATTCAGGCTCATAGTTTCATTCCTTGGTTCACCATTCAGAAGAAGAAAATTTAACATATCCAAAAATGGAAAACGTCAACCTTTGTTGAAGTGCTTCAGCTATGAGCAGATATCCAATGCTACTAATGACTTCCATCTAGGTATATATATCCTTGGAACCTCTAATTGATGTTATTTTCAAATATTTGAGAGTCCTTATTCCTTATTCATTTTTAATTTTTAATTTTTCCACAAAAAAACAGATAATTTGGTTGGACGAGGTGGGTACTCGGAAGTATACAGAGGTGATCTTTCTGATGGAAGATCCATTGCTGTGAAGAGGTTGGCCAAGGACAATAAGGATCCTAACAAGGAAAAAGAGTTCCTTATGGAGTTGGGTGTTATAGGACATGTCTGCCATCCTAATACTGCTTCTTTAGTGGGCTGCTGCATTGAAAATGGGCTCTATTTGATTCTCAATTACTCTCAAAATGGAAACTTGGCAACTGCATTGCATGGTGAGATGAGAGGAAGCCTTTTACTCCAATTCCCAATTTTACTTTATTAATATGATTTTTTCGGGAATTACTGTTTGTTATGTCCTTTGAAATTAAATGCATTGGAATGATTATCAGGTAAATCAGGAAATTCACTTGACTGGCCAATCAGATACAAAATTGCTATGGGAGTTGCAAGGGGTCTCCATTATCTTCATAAATGCTGTAAACACCGAATAATTCATCGTGACATTAAAGCCTCCAATGTTCTTCTAGGTCCTGATTATGAGCCACAGGTAGAATAGCAATCAAACATTTGCAGTTGGAAAAGAAAAAAAACTACATTGATTTTACGTAATTCAGCTCATTCAACTTAAGGCTTTCATTTTATTTTTTTTCCTATCTTTAGATTACCGATTTCGGGCTAGCAAAGTGGCTTCCTAACAAGTGGACTCACCATGCTGTAATCCCAGTGGAGGGCACATTTGGATACCTAGCACCAGAGTGCTTTATGCATGGAATCGTGGATGAGAAAACAGATGTTTTTGCATTTGGAGTTCTTCTTATGGAGATTGTAACTGGACGGAGACCAGTTGATTCATCAAAGCAAAACATTCTCCTATGGGTAATAAAGACCTTTCATTCCCTGATAGCTAAGCTAGTGTCACAATTCACAAATGTAGCTGTTTAATTTAACAATTTTTGAATTATCACCAAAGGTTTATAATACTTTAAAACGTAAATTGGTGAAGCAAGACATTAACACTCTTTGTTTGTTAACATGTAGGCAAAGCCTCTCATGGAATCAGGGAATATTGCTGAGCTAGCTGATCCAACAATGGAAGGTAAATATGATGAAGAGCAGCTGTATAGGGTAGTGCTAACGGCTTCATACTGTGTGAGACAAATTGCCACGTGGCGTCCTCCAATGAGCGAGGTGAACCAACAGTAACTTGAGATGGCCATGTTTATGTTCCTCTCAGCACCCTTCATTCACCTAAATGAAGTTTCCTTCTTTTTTTCTTTTTTTTTCTAATTTGGTTTTACACAGGTGTTAGAGCTGCTAACCAATGGCGAGGACTGTGAGGTTGGAAAGAGCTTGAGGATCCCAAAGTTCACTTCTGATGAATTGGATGATTACTCTATGGTTTTCGGATATGATGTCCCCTCAGACATATCTCTGGAGGAATTTTTGAGAGAATAAAATGTTGTTCTATTTTTCATTATATTTTAGATTTGTGACACGAGTCTACTAATAAAATAAGCAGTAGATCAGAAGTTAGTTCTTTATTTTTGTAACTTAATATGTGTCTTTTTTTTAATTCTTTATTATTATTTTCGGGTGTTTTTTGTGCACCTTAGTCTAATCTGCCATAGTTGGGCAAATATGGCAGTATTTTTTATTTTTTTGGGTGGAGAACGAATATTAGAATTTTTATGAAGATTTTAAGGAAATATTGTTATCATGAGTAATTCTTTTGTTTAAATTGATCTTTACAACAACAAAATTATATGAAAATTTGGTTTATGGCAAAGTTTTTGGTGTACAATTTCTTTTCTTTTCCTGAGATTTCTCGATAGCTTCGTCAAGTACTTAAATTCGAAACGACGGGTTAAGTTAAAACAACTATGTGCCAATTGGCTCATGTACTTGATGATAATTTTTTAAAATCAACTGTGATTGTTACGTCTCAAAATAATAGCAAATGGAAAAAAAAAAAATCATTAAAATAATAGACCTTAATAAAATTCAAATCTGGATCAACTTAGTTAATGCTTTCTACCCAATGAAGTTATGCCAATTGTTGTTGGCTTGTATACAATTACTCTATCCTTCTACATGTTTTAATTTCTTTCATACACACTTTGTATTTTGGGGAGGCGAACTCCAATTCCTGTTTGCGTATGGGTTATGTGGAGTGATGGGCTTTAACCAAGAGATGGCGAAAAATATAGATGATGTCACTCCCAAAAAGAAAACTTTAAGCAGTAGTGGGTTTGCGCTTTCAGTGTTAAAACAATTTGAAAGCCCGTATGGATTTTTAAAATTTGTAAAATGCAAGCCCATCCTTTTAGGTAAGGAAGCTGAAAGCCCATCTATAAATATAAAAAAGACATATGCTTTTTACTTTTTCTTGAAAAAAAATTAAATGTTACACTAACTACTAACCTCGCTTATCTTTTATATTTTTATTTGTATAAAACTGTACAGATGGAATATAAATATGAAAAATGCAAAATAAATATTAAATACTTTTAGATATCTCAATGATTCGGTCGTCTTGCATTTTTAACAATTTGTTTTAGTAAGACTACAAAGTATTTTTACACACTTCATATATGATCAGACTAGACCCTCTTTAGGCGTAGGCATGTTAAAATGTATACAAATTCATTTTACAAACAAAAACATTGTCAACCGGACAAATAACTTTCGGGACGTCATAAAATTCATTAATTTTTTTAAAATAAGAGGGTAATTTTTTTATTCTTGAATAAAGTGATTCATTTTTTATATACTAAACAAAAGTGATTCATTTTTTAAACTAACTAAAAAAATATATTTATTTTTTTTCAATTCGATTCTGTTCATTCGATTCTTTTGAATTTGTTACACTCTCCTATGTAGGGATGACCAAGTAAAAATTTACATGCAAAGAGGAGGAGACCAACCCCTAATAAATTCTATACAACTTGATTTGTGGAGTCTCCAATTGCCAGAGTCTAGATGCGGATATGTTACATGTTGTTATCGGATATTACTTACTACGAAGTCTTTATTTTGTTTTACATGTTTTGTTGTGTTATTGCATTGGGGAATGAGATGTAATTGTTGTGTTGACCGGGCATACCTTAACTTTGTGGGCTCCTCTATAGTGGGCGTGATGATGGAGATAACTAGAATGGACCACACTGGATAGTGGTGTTACAAGACGACAACTGAGCCCACAGGAGAGGGCTTGGACCGGTGATACACGTGAAGGAGATGTGGGTCTGACCCCACTGTAGAGCCCATTTGACAGTGACCCCACGTGAAACAAGCAACCGACACCTTTTCGTCTTCAATGTTCCGTCTCGTAACTAAGATAAAACACTAGCACTATCCAGGTCAGTTGTCTTGAACCGACGGAAATAGATAATTGGCTGTTTTTGACGCTCAGGATTGATTGCATTCCAGTCATAATTAGTTCATGAAGTTGGAATTCAATACATTGATTTCTCTGAAGTAAGCAGGAGTATATGCATTTTCAATTTAACTTGGAGTGTATCGTAATATGAACCAGGGATAGTCTAGTGGTGTTGGGTGTGTTTAGTGTGTATTAGGTGTGCGGTTCGATTCCCTGTAATGTCCAAAAAAAAGAGTGTATCGTAATATTAATTCATTCAAATTTAAAAATAAATACATCTTTATTTGTTCACTTTAAACATAAACTATTTTTTTTTAAAAAAAATTAATATGTATTTCATATGACGACCTCAACTTAATGATCTATATTGCTTAAAATTTTGAATTTAAAGTTAATATTATTTTTGGTCCTCAACAAAAAACACGGATCCCTTAGCAAAAAGTACCTATATTAGTCCTTTTTAGGAACTAATATGAGTTTTCTTTAAATTTCTGAAGGACCAAAATTTTAAAGAACTAGAATTTCAGAGGGACCATAATTTCATTTTTTTCTAAAAGACTAAAATGAATTTCGTGTTTTTTGTTGAGGATGCAAAACGATATTTACTCTTTGAATTAAGTGAATCAACTTCGAGGAATCACTTGCTAATATGCCTCAGATAAAAATAAATTAAAAAATTAATTCACCTTCGATACCTACCTACAAAAGATTAAGAAATCAAATAATTCGTTAATTTCGTAGTTTCAATAGATTTTTCTTGCTTGTGTCTAAAATTATGGTACTTTGCTTCAATGCTTGATTTGCATTTATAATTAATTTCTGAATAGTTAATTGAACTCAACATTAGCCTTGACGTTTATGTGTTTTACAATAATTAAGGGTGACAATTTTTAAAATGGCTAGCTGATACGACACGAACACAACACCAAAAATTTATTATTGGATCAACATTTTTTCAAATTCGTGTTGGCATAAACTGACCTGGAAAAATTTGTGTCATGTCACGTATCAACCTTTGAACTCGTAATTGACTTGTGTTATTCTTCTTATAGATTATCTGTGGCGTGTCGTAAACAAGTTATGAAGGGTTCAAAAGGTTTTGATCTATAGATCTATATTAAGCGATATGAAGGGTCCAATCCAATAATAGCCCAAAGGCCCAATGATAAGACTTAGTCTACAAGAAAATGCAAGTGTGTATATAACATGTATACGTAATCCCGAGAATACACAACTAGACTTGCAACACCTCAAGGATCATAAGCCTCCTTCATAACTAATAGTTAAAGGACAAACACAATATTCCAATCAAGCTTAGACATCATAACTCACCAAAAGGTATCCCGTAAGAGAAATGGGCTAACAGAGCCTCTATAATCTAACTATTAGATATGTGTCGTTATACTAAGGTGGCATAACAAGGCAACAAGTACGTCATACTACTTCTATAAAAGAGAGACTCAAAACTAAGATATAATCATCATCATCCAGATTACTAAAACTGATCACTCAAATATTGACTTGAGTGTCACATATTTTTAGGCACTCAACCCCATTTGTCCTGGATAAAACACTATTCAATTGCATCAAGATCATCTTCGGCTAATACCACCCCGCATAGCAAATCAACAACCACCCATGCAATTATGAACTTAAATCAAATTCAATTGTGTGTGGTGAGACCCAACTAATCATATTTATATCTAATAAATAATCCCTGGTATTTACATGAGGAAGTTATGTTAGAGTCGGAGGAATTGATTGGAAATCCTTTTCTTGATTTTGTGAAATCCGTATCTGGTAATTACCATATAAATTGGGTGGAACTGAAGTTGTCGGTCTGTTAATGACCCAATACTCGCATTAGAACACACATATACAAAGAAAATTTAAAGTGTCTATAATTAATTTTTAATATAAATAACGCAATCTTATTGATTCGTGAGTGTAAGCGCGAATTTATTGCAACCCAAGCATGCATTATCTCACAAAAGAAATGAGAAGTTCCCTGAGACCTATGCAGACACTCGACTCAAATCTTCCACTGCATGCTGATATATATGCAGGTAAACTAGTTGATATTAGCATTACAGGCCGGTTTAGTTCACATATATACACATTAATAATAATAACATGTCAATTGAATATAAAAAAAGTACTATAACTAATTAAGTGCATGTATAAGATTTAAAGTGGTACTAATTAATTTAAGGGTTGATTAACTTGTTTACCCATTTCGCCATTTTTGTCTTGGAAAAAAATCTTAATAGATTATAGATATGTTTTGATTACTTTCTTAGAAATTTAATTATACTTTATATTTTTATAATTTTTTTTATAAAAGTGAATTCGTAATGATATAATTCTATCAAAATCAATTTAAAGGTGGTATAACGGTTCGGTTTGCCCAACCCACTATCAATTTGTTAAAAATGGGGAGGGGCGAGGCGAGACGAGACGGGTTGGCTCGCCTCTTGAAAGTGGGTTGAAAATTTCAACTCGTCTTATTTTATGGCTGATTAACTGATCAACTCGTTTAAAAAAAATCTAAAAATAAATCATATTTTATGAGATTTGTAATATTATTTAATTTCATTTCACTCTCCCATTATTTTTTCCAATCTTAAATCTAAATGTATATTAATATTCAGTTGGACAATTTATAGGAACTCATCTTTGTCTTATGGATAATCTAAATCATAAATAAAGTGTTTTCTTTTCTATATTTTCTAAGGAAATACAAAGATAAAAAAATTTGGATACAACAAAGTTTAACATGACAATTATAAAATAGAACTTGAACCCAACTCGCGACGAATTAAATATGCCTTTATGACGGGTTAAACGAGACAACCCAACCGGTTATATCCATTTTTCCACCTCTAAAAATATTCATAAGATATATCCTCGCTCATTGTCTTCTGCAGCCAACGGAATAGATCAACTTTTTTTTTTTTTTTTTATAACTCTAACCATATCTTGTCATGGTGGTTTTAATATCATGTCATGTAATCAATTTTTTTAAAAGTTTAAACTAATGGATGAAGGTATATCAATAATTTTCATATTATATTTTAAATCTATTTTGTAACATTATTCCAACCTCAAAGATCAATTGAAGGCCATAAAATATTTTTAATAAATTTTAAATCTTACATTACAAGTAAAGTTGGCATACATAAAATTAAGATTATCAATTGAGCAACACAATGTGGCTTACATACTGGCTATCAAAGAATATAAAAGAGAAAATTTCCCAAACTTCAATAGTTAAATTGAAAAGTTTTCAAACGTGAGTTAGTGCCAGCCAAACACACGTTTTTCCTGTTAATAAATCTTCTCTTTAATAGTAGTATTTTCACAAGCTGAGATTCCGAAATTATAGTTGCTATTATCAATCATAAGTCCCTGCCAATAAATGATTTTTAAAGCAGTAGTTAAGAAAATAAAACATATAGTAACATTTATTATATTAGATACATAGAAAATATTTAATATTTATTTCTTTAAATAAAAAATTAAATACTCGCTATTATTTAAAAGTTTTAATGAAACAAACCCCTCCCTTCATACGTTTAAGTTTGGGCCAATCATTTATTTTATTATTTCAGTCTTTTTGTCCTTTTTTTAAAAATATTTTAACTTTAAAAAATAAAAGAATAAAATGTTTTTAAAAAAAATATTATTCTTAAGTATCTTTTGTAAATTAAATAAAAACGAACATAATAAAGTCAGAGAATAATTTAATTAAATATTGTTATTTTTTAATAAAAATTAAATTATTAGAGAAAAAACAGAAACCTAATAAGATAAAAAAAACAAAAGAATCCACTACCAATTCAAATAATAATAAAAAAAAAGAACTTTCATCAAAAGATATCAATTGCTAAGATTCGAAAAAATTATTTTTTTCATGAATATACAAAAGAGATTTATTATAATGAAATTGAATTTTAAAATAAAAAATGCCCCTTTTATAAATTTATAAAATAAAAAAAATGTTTTTCCATAAACTATCATTTTCTTTTTTCAATAGATAATTGGATACACTTAAAAATATACTAATTCTGCAACTTTTTATTCCAGCGGAGTCTGGAGTCAAATTATTGTCAATACGAGCCAAGGAATGGACCCACGTTAATGTTAGGTAAACGATTAAAAGATATCTAATTAAAAAAATGAAAAGAGTACTAGTGGTGGTGTGACCTTCTAATATCCGAAAAATACCTGCAAGAAAAAAATGATACGGTTGGGGAGCGCCAACCAATAGAAATGGAGAAAGAGATCCGTGATCCTATTGGAAAAGATATTTTTTTTACTAAAACAATTAAAAATAGTTTACAGTACAGATTCTAATTCTACACGAGATGAATACGAATGAAGAAGAAGAAGCCCCGTACAGTTCTTTTTTAAAAAGTAAAAGGGCTTTTTCTAGCTGAGACAAATCTTCAACTCCGCAAGTCTCTGCGTCATGCACCAACACTAGACCTGTGCCTGATCTAAAGCATCACGTTCGTACTAATTCATCCATTGCTTTTTCCTAATAATCAACGGTTCCCACAAATTCATTAATCATTATTCTAAGAGAGAGAGAGAGAGAGAGGGAGGGAGGGAGAGATTCATGCACCCTCCTCCTCCATTGTTTACTAAAACGTTGGGACGACGCCGTACGGAGGGTCCATCAATAAAGACCCAGGGAAAGCAGCAGCAGCAGCAGCAGCAGAAGGGCTAAAGAGGCGGTCCACCTCTGACTCAATTTCGGTTCGTTTGGCGAACCGGCCTTTGATCCTGGGCCGAGTTTCGGCATAAGCCTTTCGCGAAGCGTATCGAATGGTCTTCTCGAACTTGCGGTTCTTTCTCTTCTCTCTGTATCTCAGCACCCTCGCTTCCCGATCCATGCCGCACAATTGGGTCCCACCTTGGCCGCTAACCGCCGACACCATCCCACTCGAATCGGAGCTGTTCAGACCGAAAGGGTACGACATGTCCGACACCGTGTTCCCATCTGGCACCACTCCAACATCATGCGAAGACGAAGAAACCTGTCAAATAATTAAACAAATAATCAGCACAAAGCACGATATTCGATTCTCTGTTAAGAGTATTTGTATTTAATTAATACTTACGCTTTGGCTAAGAGACTGTGATGGGTAGTTAAACGAGGATAGCTTCGATCTGCAAAAATCGATGTCGAAGCAACCCTCCGAGTGATGATTCATCACCGGAGCTGGAGCGAGAACGTGAGCAGGTTTGTTTTGAACTGGAACGACGCTGTCGTTTCCGGCACCATGATTGTTGTTGTTGTTGTTGTTGTTCTGGAAGGAGTTTGAGTAATCGAAATCAAGAAATGGATCCATTTCCGAGAAGAAAATCTCCCTGGACTTGGTATCCGGAGCGTCCATTAGCTTGAATCCGAAATTCGGGTTGGGAATGAGCCACGCGGCTTCTTCGGAGTCGTCTTGGTTGAACCCGTCGGAGCCAATTCCTTCGTCGGAGGGGGCCATGAAGCTAAAGGAGGAGGCGACGGCGGAGGAGGCTTTCACGATGGATTCGGCGGAGTCGAAGAAGGGCTCCACGGGGACACGCTCGTGGCGGCGAGCGAGAGGGTTGGCCGAGTGGATATCAGAGTCGCACGTGACGCAGAGTGCGGCGGCGTCTGCCTTGCACGTGACAGATGCAGGTGCTTGCTCGCACACCTCGCACATCCACACGCGCTCGTGGCGCGACGCAAGCTTATTAGCGCAGTGAATCTTGGAATCGCAGGCGATGCAGAGAAACGCTGAATCGGGGCGGCAGAAGAGCGCCGCCGAAGCCAACTTGCAAGAATCACATGGCTTCGGCGGCACAGTCCAGCCACTCCTAAAGCCCTTGAAGCCTCCTCTCTCAATTCCCATCCCTCTTTCTCTCTTGAATTTTCAGAAAACGCGAAAGCACTTTTTTAAAAACGCGCTTCTCTAACCTGAAAACTCGGGTAATGGTATTGCTTCTTCTTCTGCTGCTTGCTGCTCAAGGTGGAAGAGATAGCAACTTTAATATGTTGGTGTTGGGTGAGTTGATTTCTTTGGGTGTGGTTTTTCTATTATCTATAGTTAGTGACTAGTCATAGAGAGAAAATCTAGGTGATGACGAATGAATGAGGGACACGTGGATGTCTATAGGCCACAAAAATGGTTCGTTCAGGCCAACAATATTAGAATAGATATGTATTGGGGCGTAGTAGTTGTCATCGTGTTGTGTCTGTGCCGACGTGGGCCCTCCACGGACATTAGCTGCAATCAGGTCATGCTTTTTTAAGATGGACGGGGAAAGAAAAGGGGCACGAGGATGAGGATCTACTCCATCTCTTATTTCGTAAAAGTAAACAAACGATTGTAGGATAATTAGAAGGGTTTGATTTTTTGCATCCGATAATTTATCTAATGCAACATATAAAAAAGTAAATATGATCTATTTTGAAAAAAGAAAAGAAAAGAAAAAGATGAATTTCATCTTCTTTTTTTGTTGCATGAAACAAATTGTCTCATTCAACATAAGAAACATATTTTTCTAATTAGAAATGGATAATGTTTTTCTTATTGAAGATGAGTTATTTTATATTAGTGAAATAGAATTATAAAAGGAATTCACAAATATTTGGAGAGAGAAAAATAGAGGTGGGATCCACCTTTGTTATGTGTGTGTAAGAGTTTGATTTATCTCATATTGGAGGAGATAAATATAACCCATTATATATATATATATATATATATATATATAAGCTTATCATTTCTGCAGCCACCGTAGATAACACTCTCTATAGCTGACACATAAAAATGGGCTCCACGGCGTTTTAAAAAAAAATAAAAATAACAAGGATCCGGTGCCGTATCCTAGGATCCACATGCGGATCCTAGCTAGCTGTAAGTACAGCGGCTGTAGAAATCATTTTGCCTATATATATATATATATATATATATATATATATATAGGGAAAAGCTAACATCATGTTACTGTAAAATTTTGTTTCCTCCTACTCTCAGATCGTTTTCCGTGCTTGCTTTTTTGTTCATTTTTTTTTTAATATTTGATGGGCCCTACAAAAACATGTTTCTATAACATGATGTATTCATTTTGCTTTACATAACATTCACAAAACCCATATATATATATATATATATATATATATATATATATATATATATAAATATATATATATAATGAAATTATTTCTCAAGTTGCTGGACATCCAGTTAGCAATTTTGATCGTTGATTCTCATTTATTCCTCATATTTAATGTTTTTACCCACCATATATGGTTATGATTTCTAACTTAACGTCCAACAACTTGAGAAATTTCTAACTTGACGTCCAACAACTTAAGAAACGTTAACTATATATATATATATATATATATATATATATATAGGATCAGGATAATTTTACACCGGTGTAAGACTAATAAGTCTTACACCACATCTCAACCGTTGATTTCTGTACATCCAACGGTTATAATTTAGAAAGTTATATGAATTCATTAATATTAATTAATCATTAATTACACTACAAATACCAACCGATGATTTCCGTCCATCAACGGTTGAGATGTGGTGTAAGACTTGTTAGTCTTACACTGGTGTAAAAAGAATCTGCCTCATATATATATATATATATATATATATATATATATATATATATATATATATATATATATGGGACATGATATTCTTACACTGGTGTAAGAGTTAGAAGTCTTACACTCAATCTTGATCATTGATCCACTTGTATCCAATGGCCCACATTACTAAAAAATTTGAGCGCTTAGATATGAGTGGGATTAACGAACATGATTAAGAGTGTAACTTACATTGGTGTAAAATGATCCTGACCCTATATATATATATATATATATATATATATATATATATATATATATATATATATATATATATATATATATATCATTATCTTTTGCTTTTTAAATAAAGAAACGGTAAAATTATCTCCTGCATACACATAAAAGTGAGCCCTTTTTCTTTCCTCTTTTCTCTATCCCATATGTGTCTCACATACTTTATGTATGTGTATAAAATAATTTTATCTTCTATAACATGAGACACATCAAACATTTTTTTTCATTTTTTCATGAAACTATACAAATAAAAAATATTTTTATTATATAAATGAAGAGTTGATTAGGAGCATTACTAATCGTAGCGGTTTCAAACATGTGGGTCGATATCTGGGGTCAATGATGCAACATGGGAGAGTTACTAGAGACCTTTATGAGAGCAATGTTGAGAAAGTAAGAGGAAATCTTCATATGGAAGGTGGCTCATGGCAGGTTAGTTACGATGTCTTACATAACTCAATGGAATGATATGGGAATAAATCATGTCCAATTTGCAACTCGTATCCAAAATTTATCCTCCATGTTTTAAGGGATTGTCAAGAAGCTAAATCCTTGTGGTGCAAGTTAGTTCCTGAGGCGTTGTGGGGTGTGTGTTTTGATCATAATTTAGGAACGTGGCTTAATAACTTTATTGGTAATGGGAGGGAAACAATAGCGCAAGGTTTTTATTTGTCTACTTTCTTTATAACTTGCTGGAAGTTTTGGCAGTGGCGTAATGCCTCTATCCACGGTGCATTAATAACTCCTCTGAGTCATAGGGAGACTTTAATTCGTAATTTTGTTATAGATGTGCTTGAGGCTGTGAGATTCTCAATTGGTATGCATCCAGAAAAAAGATTAATGGTCGTTGATATTGCTTGGCATTTTTCAATGGAGGGTTTTGTTAAAGTTAACATCGATGGTGCTGCACGTGGTAATCCGGGACATCTTCTAGTGGTGGGGTGGTTAGGGATGCACACGGCAACTGGATTGCAGACTTTGCTTATAGGTTAGGTGTTTGTAGGTCTTTCAAAGCCGAGCTCTGAGGTGTTTTATGGGGTTTGGAATTGGCTTGGAATTATGGTTTTAGGCAGGTGTTTCTGGAAAATAACTCTTCTAGTATGGTCATTATGCTCACCACTATAGGTGCAGTAGCTTGTGAAGGTCATTTGATCGCTCGCATACGAGCACTAATGCAGAGAGATTGGATTGTCAGAATTCATCATACTTATAGAGAAATGAACATTTGTGCGAATTGGATGACAAATTTCATCTTAAATAACAGTGACAGTCTAGATCACTTTGTTTGTGGAGAGTCTGCTCCTAGAATTCATTTGTTGTACTTGGCTGACCTTGTTGTTGTGAACAAACCACGTATATTAATTGTTCAGTAGTTTTTCTGTCTTTTCTTTTTCTTTTCTATTGTGCTTAGGCTCTCTGATTTATCAAATAATAATAATAATAATAATAATAATAATGAATTCACTCTTTCTCCTTTGTCAATCAATGTCTCAAAGATCAAACTATCAGGGGACACAATTGAGACGAGGCGACATGCTCGAGTTGGCAATGGGAGCTAGCAGCTACCCCACACGGGGTGAAATGAAATATTGCAAAGGGAATGACAATTTTTGGGGTGATGCGAAATATTTCTCATTTGATGCTTAAAGTGTGTTAATCATATTGATAAATTAATTTAATCAATAATTTGTTTAAGATTAATAAATATTTTCCAACATTTCTCTTTTAAATTGATCATAGTTTGGCTGTAAGGAAATTATTAATTAGATCAAATTATAGTACATACCAGATGAAAAATATTTTGTATAAAGTTGATAATTTCTGTCATCAACCCAATATGGCATAAACAGATTTTTGATTCATTTTATTTCCTTATTTTATGGGAATTTGGGAGAATTTCCATGAGGTTACACTTTTAAATATACTCTTTTTCCAGAAGTGAAATGATTTTTTATTTGAAAGCCAGAAATAGCCATTTATACTCTTTTCCCGAAATGAAATGGCTACATATTTGGAAGCCGGATAATAACCATTTATAGATGTATTCATCTCATGTGAAGGTCAAACTCGCTTTCCCGCATTTGGGACTCAAAACTCTTGTGCTTCCTGCACAGTCAAGAAGTAGCAAATAATTGTATGATTGAATCCATTGTAACAGTAAAAATAATTCATTACGCAACCCTTTTTTAGATATAGGAATATATCCATCATGGAAAAATGTCCGACGTATGCACCCATTTTTTTTTTTTATAAAAAAAAAAATAACAAAATTAGAGCAGGTTTACAACTAGATTCTAGGCATGCAAGATATGTTACTTTGGAGATTTGCAACGAGTTTTTTTTATACTTCTAACGAGTTTAATACTTATTTCTTTAAGTAATTAAGACATTTAATGGATAATATTAAATACTCTTTAAATGAGAGGATTTCACAGCAAAATCTCGTTATTTATTTATTTTTTGTTGTGTGTTTAGCATATGGTTAGACACTCAGACCTTAGACCGATAGTCTTTAGGTTCCTATTGGATCATATCCGAGTCAAGCATAACAACAACGACCAACGCTTGCCACTCACTTTCGCACATCAGGGTTAAAACCAATGTTATCAAAATTGATTTTGTCATTGAGCCGACTGAGGTATTGTATTACTGATTAATTACCGATTAAATTATATGACTCGGGTTAGTATATAAAAATATATATTTTGTACATAAAAAACTTTAAAATATTCAAATACATATAAAAAAATTGTTATATTGGGCTACAAGTATATATAATTTTTGTAGAAATAAAAAAAAGTAATATATAATAATCTCATATAATATATTGTAAAACAAATAAATAAAGAAAAAAGAAAATTCAAGTATATGTAATCATATATAATTCCTCTACCAAGTTCCATCAACTAACTATGTTTGATAATTATAAGGTATTTACCAACAACTCTTTTCATAAAAATAGATTTGTAAGGAATTAATATGTCATCTTCTCTTAATTTACTATTCCGCAAATTGTTTCAGTTATGGAAGTTGAAATTTCATATCACTATAGGAAGCAATAAAGCACGGACAAGCACAAATTTTAAAAAAATATGTGTCAATATTTTAGGACACGCGGTCAACGCTCCGACACCTTCCGACACATTTTTTTTTTTATCCAATTTTA